ACATCTTATCACATCCATACGTATTTGCATACGCATAGTATGGGTCAAAGTTCGCATTCTCAGTTGAGTGTGTCCCAAAAGGGGATCTACACAACCTTCCACACAAAAATTGCAACTTTGATTGGAAAAATCGAGACAAAATCTCATAAACCATTGGATCTACCCAAAATGGCCCCATTTGAATAGAGAAAATCGTCATAAACCATTGGATCTTGGTGGTCTTGGCACTCAAAAGCTTCTATTTCTTATATTGTTGGTTATATATCTTCACTATATCCTCATGACATCCCTATTTCTTTTATGGGTAAATCCATGTAAATCCCCTACAGGATCCCCCCAGTTATAAGTTTGTTTATAACCCCATTAACTAGTTCGTTGTATCATGTTATATCTACCATAAACATCCATAAACCATAGAATTCAGCCAATTATACAGGTCATATCTCAACTGAACGCTGAAGGGGGCCCCCAGGGGCCCCATCCATCCCATGTTCCGAGTTCAACCAGGCTGTCTCCGCACCTCTGGAGGATCTCCAAGCACCCAGCGCCAACGGCGCCAAGCTCAGCGAGCTCAGCGAGCTCAGGGCGACGCCGGGTCTGCGCGCGCTGGAACTGCTGCCACCTCCTGGAGACTGCAGCTGCAAGCAGTTGAAAGATACATATATATATATATATACATATGTATATATATATATGTGATATATGTATATATATTATATTATATGTGTATATATATATACATATATGTATGGTGTCCCGTTTTTGATGATTGAACCCCATGTTTTGGTGGTTAAATCCTATGTTTTAGGGGGATGCCTTCCGGAATAACGCCTCCGCATCGGCGTCCTGGTGTTTCTCTGGGCACCGAGGGAGCTGATGGCACCGGTCGTGGCAGTAGCACCTGATGTGGAAATGTGTGGTGATATGAGTGTATACGTACCCATTGACACCTGTATAGGTACATATTACTACACAGCATTCAGACTCTTATTGCCTCATTAGCATTTCACGCAATTTTGGTGTGCAAGCTGTATGCCAACCCCACCTGCCACGCAGCTCGTGAAGGCACTTCAAGCGACATGGGAGCTCCAGCCTACCCGCACCCAACACTTAATGTCGTTGGCGCGCTTTTTGCACGGTCGCAGCGCTTCCATTCTTCAGCATCAAGACCCACAAAAAACTGAATGTATATTATATATATATATGGATCTATACAATAATCTGCACTCATCTTCAGGCAACGGCAATCTGAGATTCTGCTAATCTTCGACAGGACATGCGTCAAGATCACTCTCAACAGCGCCTGGCACGGCGCCAGAATTGGACGGGTTTGAGCCGCTCGAGGCTCGTTGCGTCAGCGAAAGTTCACCCGTCATGGCTCGTTTCGCTGGTGGGATTTGACTAATGGGACCATGGTTCATGGGGGACATGTCGGATATAACGAACCAGTTAATGGGTTTATAAACCAACTAGTTAATGCGTTGATTGAATGGGATCTCATGGGACAACCAATCATTGGGATCTGGTTTTGTTGGGAAAATCTTCACCGGAAAGCCATGGCTATCCAATCCAATGATTCGATTGCTGGCGGCTTTCACCATGTTACATCCGCAAAGGCAAATTCATATCTTACCAAAGGCTACAGCGTTAAATCCCTAGTCATGATTGAATCTTCATTTGGGGATTCTTGCTGGTCACACCCCCATTTTTCTGGTGAATCTCTTTGATGAAGATATTCCGCTGTATCCCATTCTATTCCCGCTCGATTGTTGCATAACTTCTGAAATACCACCATTTTGCCCCTAAACCTCGTGAAAAACGTCCTGTGAGTGGATCCACCCGACACTCCACTGCTGGCCATTGAAGATCTCCACTACCGACCTCAGTCGGAATTGTGCTGTCAAAAATGCTTAAATATTTGGAATCACTCAAAAAGTGTATCGAAAATCAGGCGTGTTTGAGAAATTTGAAGCATCCATTCAAGCATTGATCACGAATGGTTTGTGGGATATACTAGGAAGCCATGGCCCCCTTAGTTCCATGATTTGCCAAGTAAAATAGTGATTTTCCGTGGTTAACTGTTAGTTTAGCAGAGGGTATTGACTGAAACAACAATGTTCCCAGAATGGATTATTCATGATAATCCCGAAATATATATATATAGAGAGAGAGAGAGGGTAATGTAATCCCCGAACTCTTGTTTAAACCCCAATAAATAAATTAAAAATCAACCAACCAGCATTTATCAGTTATACCCACTTCTGTCCCTACATGTTGATGCTTAAAGCCCATTAAATGACTATAGTCATCAACAGGTTCCAGGGCACCAAACCCTGGACGCCATGAATCTCTCCTTGTAGCCTGGGCAGCAACGTGCAAAACCCTAAAAATGGTGGGAAAACCCAGCAAAATTCATCAACATCGGATGGTAAACATCATGGTAAACATCATGCTAGACATCATCGTTTTCCCATTGAAATCATGTTTCAATCCCATGGTAAAATCCATATCTTGTTCCATTCCAAAATTGTCCCATATCATCCCAAATCCCATGAGCTCATCCATATGGTGAAATCCCCATGGCCTTCAGCAAGAGTGGATCTTCGATCATCGAATCTGCCTGGAGGGAACGAAAGGCGTCACGAATCTCCGTGACTCACGTCACGATTGAATTTCAGGTTGACCATGCTGACCAGTAGACGGATCACAACTTGAAAATAGTTATTGAATGGAGATAAACTATGGTTATACATGCTTAAAAAGCTTAATAATAATGGTGATTCATGCTGATTGAAGGTGAGTAATGAAGGTATGAAGCCAGCAATAGTGAGGACATTGTGGGAATATAATGGGATATAATAGGATGTAACGAGGGATATAGTGGGATATCATCGGATATTTTACCAAAAGTACCACGCACAGGACCTCATCCCCCTGAACCTCTCCAGCAGCACACTGCTTTCGCAGCTCTACAAGGCAGCTTGCGTGGCGGACGTGTTGGACGCTTGTCATTGCTACATCGACATTGGAAACTTTGTATATAATTATATTATATATATATACGTACAGTAATAGATAATTACAAATAGATTGGAAACTTTGTGCAATGACAGTCTCCTAATTGCTTCTCTTGTTGGATTTGTTTGGCGCTTCCTGCGACATCTGGATTGTCATGTTTCCTTGAACAAAGGCAACAAAAACACTCATTTTCGAGACAACCGCATGTTGAAGCGAATATAATGCAACAAATGCTGTGACCTAGCCTTCTTGCAACCTGCTCTCACCACTATGTCCCTTCGTCCCTTCTCTCCAGCAAAGTATCGTTCCGCTTTTTGGGATGCACTCAATACTCTTGCTCTCCTTCGAGCAGGGCAAGTCAGCATTCGTGCGAATTCAATGCGGGCAAGGATCAAAAACCACTTGGATAGACAGAAACAAATTCACCCCACCAGGTTGATGTACTGAAACCATTTAAATCCGCCCGCACCGAAGGTGCTGGGGCGTGATCTTCCGGATGGCACTCGTAAAAAGGTTACAGGTTTACCTGGGGGGGGGGGGCCATTATTCGTCCAAAACCTCCTGTTTTTGATAGGTCGTGACGCTCGCCTTCAAAAAACACTGTAAAAAACAGTACGGAAGACACCTGTTCGTGAACGCGCCCGTCCAAAATCGGCAAGCGAAAAGTGAAAAAAACCCGTGTTTTTTAACTTTTTGACCTCAATTTTTTGGTTTGCAACATCTTTTTTTGCGGTTCCGCAGGTGGCCGGGCCCGGAGGCGGATTTTTGAGTTTTTGGACCCGTTTTTGGACTGATTTTCGTCGTTTTGTGATAGCAGAAACACTGGTTTTTACAGTGTTTTTCTGTTTTCTGCATGCTTGACGGCTAGCTTCAAAACTTCCAAAAACCTCGTAAATTACGCTGTTTTATGTTACGGTGTGAATGAAAACATCGTAAATACCAGTGTTTTTTTGACGTTGGTTAAAAAAACACTGTAAATTACAGTGTTTTTGGCCACCTGACCCTCAAAAACCATGGTATTTGCAGTGGTTTCTGCTTCTCACCGCGCAAAAACACTGTAAATAACAGCAATTTCGCCGTTTTTTCATGTTTTTCGTTATTTTTTGAACTGTATTGGTCCGCTATACATGGCTATCAAATTCTTCGCGTTTTTTTTCCGACAATCAGTACTTTCGGATGTTTTTGGTCTCAATGGCCGACATCATTGGCAGTTACGAGCGGCTGCCCAACGATGCGGTGCGGGCGGTTGCCGTCGCGAAGCGACGTGAATATAAAACTGGTGCACATCCTACAAATCATGGCCGCCAATCTCTCTGGAAATTTTGATCAAGCCATGCAACTGGCACGAGCACTTCGGAAAGACACGAGAATTGTCTGTGGCATCTGCATTCGCAGAGCTCGGCAAAAACTAAAGAGATGGCTCTGGGTCAAAATTGGGTCAAAATTGGACCCTGTCATTTTTGAGGTACATAATTCTGACCCACATCCATGAGACCACATGGAAAATACGCTGAAACAAGGATAGACCCTGACATTCTAATGAGCTATGATAGGCAGAAGTTATTTTGGCCAGGAAAAATGTTTCGGAAGAAATAGCAATGTCTCAAAAGGGATGCCCTTTGGACTCCCAAAAAATGGCCCAGGTTTCACCACGAATCCACATCTCCTCAGGTGATTTCGGGGGTTGCCACGTTTCGAGACGCGCCATTTCCTCCGAGATCTGTGGACAAGTTGGTCTCGCGACGCGGTGCGGTTTCTATCGGTTTCTTGGGCTCGTAAGCCCAGCATTTTTCGGAGTTCAAATGGTCGCAGTTTCCGGTCGCAAAAAACAACGGTGGGTGGAGATGTCGGGATTTCCACTGAAAATGAGGCTGAGTCATCAATAGTCATCAATAGTCATCATCCCATCATCCCATCATCCCATCATCCCCTCCAAAAGAACAGACAGTCAACGTCCAGAACATCCTGCGTGGATGGATCACCCAATTTCTTCGAAGGGGGCAACTGGCAACTGCGATGGCTTCATACAGAGAGACCCAACGCCCCGCCCTCATCTGATCGCTGCTCTGAGGCTTGAAGCTCCTCAGAAACCAGGTCAAAGCTGCAAGACTCTCTTCATGAAGGTCAAAAGACGCTGCTAATTCGGGATTGTGCTTCCGGAAAATCAAAAAACGATATCTACAGTACTTATATTCTATATATATATATATGTATATATATATATACATATGATTATGTGTACCTTAGTAATTACATACCATATATATATATATACATATATAATGCAATATGTATATATATATATTATTCTATGACCATGGATGTGTCAAAGGGTGACATAAGTACTTCTGACCCAAGCCTGTGCCCCAAGCTGGCCTGTTGCACTAACAATCTCCGCCGATCCCTGGAAGCCAAGCAGCGATTCGTGCCGGGGAACATGAGACTCCTGCATATCAAGTGCAAAGGATTCAGAACTCATGATCCATAGGTAATCCATAGATAATCCATAGATAATCCATAGACATCCATAGACATCCATAGTATCTACGATTGCTATTGTACCCCGAGTCATTTATGGCTCCACCAGCGTCCTTGAGTTGGGTCGCGGCTGCCATGCCCCTCAGATCGCTTGGAAATCCCATAAACAGCACCGGGCACACCATGCGCGGATCATTCCTATGGCGTCCAAGCTCCAGTGCTGAGCTCAGGCCCACGCATCATCACTTTTCCTGACCGGATCAAAACCATCCCCGCTTCGTCGACAAAAAAAGACCCCGGTTTCAGAAATGGATGGGTTGCTGTATCCCCGGTTTCAAACTATAACAAACTATCATCCGTATCATTGCAGGATGGTCTTGGATCAATCTCACATTTCACACAAAATCACCAGTGAGGCTTGGTGATTTCCTGGTTTAGAAGGCAAGACTCCACTCCATCTCCACTTTGGCTTCTTGTAGTTCTGCGTGTTGTAGCTCTCTTTGAATTTCCAAGATCTCACCTGCGGAGATCCAGATTGAACAATGGTCGCTATTCCGATTATTCCGGGGACAGTTCGCCCGTTCTCACTTGTCAGACCGCCCTGTTTTGCACAACAACTCCATGCCCGCGCCTGTTTGCATGTCATCCTCCCGACTTGAAGTAAGCACCTGACCATTTGGACCAAAAACGAACCCACCCAGACCCAAGGGCTTTTTCAACCATCAAGCGGATCCATACCTGTCGTTCCCAGCCAACCTCTGCGGGAACGTCTGTAAGGCCAATTTCGCTGTTAAGCATCAGATCCATGGCGTGGTCGTAGAAGCTGTGTGCAGCGGCACCTCAGATGGCCACGGGAAACAAACCCTCAACCCAGCTCCGATTAGTTGACTGTAAGGCATCTTCTTCAGCAGTCCTTCTTACATGGTTTCTTCCCTTCCTTTAGAGTAGCTCTTGTCAGAAACGAGTACATGAGTGTTCCTTCACCAGCAAAAATCCACCAGACATTATAAATATTATATATATATAAACATTCAACTGAAGAAAAACTCAACAAATCCAGATATGGCAGTGTGTCAAAACCTTGTACCCCTGGTGAACATCAAAATAGCTGGTAAATGGATGTTCATCCCCCTAAAAATAGTATTAATAGGTATTGATCCATACCCATATCAAGAGATATCAACAGCGAAAAAAACCGAAGGCACGCCCCAGGGTGGCCGCTGCCGGGTAGGCCATCGAGGCTTCCCGAAACTTCTTGGAGTTCACCACCAAGGCGTCCGACTCAGCCAAGGCCCTGGTGATTTTTCCACCCGGATGGGGCCCCGAAGATAGCGTTCAGTTGCCTTATAAGTAGCTGAATTCTACGCTTAGTGGTAAATATATAGATATATATATATGTGTGTATATATATATATGTATATATATGTATATGTATATATATATATGTATATATATATAACGAACTAGTTCATGGGGCTTACAAACCAACTTATAACCGGGGGGCATCATCCTGTAGAAAATATGCTTAGGATGGGCCAATTCTACATATTTCAGTCATCTATTTCTCACAATTCAATGATGATCCGTAGTATCTATGAATATCTATGATTGTTATTGTACTTGAAGTCATTTATGGTTGGCTCCCAGAAGGGCTATACCTCGAATCCACTGGTGATATAATGATCATTTTCATTCATTTTCCCCGCTAGAATGGATGGGTCCAAAACCCTCTGTTATCTCTTTCACCTTTATACTGGTGGTTAGGGATTGCCATGATTGTTCAGTCCATAATCCCGAAAAATGTATCAAAAAGTCAGAAAGTCAATTCCTTTCCTTTCATATCAAAGTCCTCTCAACAAGCTTCGAGAATGCATAGATCCACCGCTAAACCAGCAGCTTCTGGGCGGTATTTTCGGTAGGGAAGCCATACATTTGCTAAATCAAACGTGAGGATGGACCTGACTTCCCAGCCTCATCTCTCCACGTGTGCGCCAGATGAGCCATAGAGCTGCTTCGCAGACATAAGTACTCTGATCCAGCTTCATTGTTATTGGGATTTCCTCGGTGTCACCGTCTGCCCATTTTTCGAACACGGAAAACACCCCAGAGCAATCTGAGGGTCATTTCTTTCGGAGCTCCCAAGCTTCATAGAGTTTTTCTTCCCAACATCTCAACTCTTGGCCGAGCAGCCCGCATGTTGATGACTGCCTTCACATGGTAGACAAAGGCACCGGAAACCAAGAAATACATCTCTTTGGCCTCCTTACTCTGATGGAACACTCGATCCTTCTTGGCATAGATAATGTTGGACAGAGCAGTGGCACAGATCTGCGAAATCGCAGGAGAAGCTGCAGAGGAGTAGGAGGCAAAAACCTGATGCGGCACATTTCGGACATCTGAAAGTGAAAGTCAGTGGAAGGGGACTCGGCTCAACTTGGCTCGATGTTCTCACTCTCTGACTCGGATTAAGAAATGAAAATAGCTTCGTGGAAACGGAAAAGATCTCCCTGAACAGTTCTTGTCATGTCCCGCTCTCAACCTGCGAGCAACTGGGTGTATGTTCAGTGTACGGGAGTGGATCTCCCTTTGCAGCTCCCAATGCAGTGGTCCAGAAAGCAGCTGCAAGTAGTGAACCTTTGAATGGTGAGTTTTCTTGTGTCGCAGTTCCAGGACGTAATCCACATACCTCCAAGGAAACTGCGAAAATGGCAGAAGTCTTGCAGTCTTGCAATGTGTTTTTTTCGGTGTACGGAAACCCCTTGATCACTTTGGAAAGGAAAAACATTGAACGTGCCTCAAAATCCGGGTCGATAAGTTTCGTGACACAGAGTTCTCTTTCAGAAACTTCTTCAAAAGGAAATTCTGTGAGGTGTTATAGCGTGTCAGTGACCACACCTCAGCATCCAAGCATTGAAGGATTGGCGGGGCAACAGAGAACCACCGTGAAAACAGAATGCTGATGTCACACCGGACCTGTGCTCTGCCAAGATTCTGCGTTCATGATGGTGGTGATGCCTTGCCACGAAGCCCAAAAAGACGTGGGGGCCCCAGGGGAGTTGTATCAAAGTGTTGCGCTGACATGGCTGCTGTGAAACTCTTCAAACCAAGCAACTGCTGACGAAGCATGTCCCCAGCACTAAACCATACACCAGCACAAAGATATAGAAAACTCGCTCGATCCTGACAAGCAAATGATGAAGAACAGCCAAACACCCTGGTTCCATGATGATTTTCCACCTTCAACCAGTAGAATCCCCCATCAACCACCAGGGATTCTGGGCATCGCCGCTGAGTGCGGCACCGGCATCTGATCTGAATCCTTAGCGGGGCTGACCCGATCAGGGACCCGCGTAGAAAACGAGGCGTCTGAGCCAAGGGTCGGGGAAGCTCCAGGGGTGAACTGCGCCAGAGACCATTGAACTGAAACCTGGGCAGCTGTGTTGTGCTGACATCGGCTCCCAGTTTTTTATTTTAAAGGCACTGCCCAGCAATCAGTGGGTTGGTTGGTCAGAAAGTGCGTCAATCGACTTTCGGTCACTTCGAAAATGTCCGTTTCAACTGTTGGCTTTCTCTGGGAATAGGGAACCCCAAAAGTTGCTGTTAATCATTATTTCATCATTAAAATTGCAATTGTTAAATATATCCTCCCCATTTTCACAAAGACCTTGCTGACAATCGGGCACACTTGGGTAGCGGCCATTGGCCACGTATGCCTCCAAGGAACTGTATACTGAAGCCACATATCAGCATCTGCGATCCCTTCTCTCGCCACCCAACACACGGCCTACCACAACCGCAGTGGCTAAGCAAATCGCAGAACAACTTGAGTCAGGGCTTTCAAAGTAGAAAAAAAAAAAGCTCGCCTCATTGTCGCTGCTGTTGGAACCAATCAAGTACCAAACGCAAGCAATGTAGTGATTTGAAATCAGAATCACCTGAGTCAACAATCCAAAGTGTTCACATCTCCATAAAGCCCGCTCTAGCTGGGACCCCATTTACACCAGAACTAGGGTTCGACTAGGATTCCCAGGAGGACCCCAGGCAGCGGTGCATCAGAGCTACAGCCAAATTTCGCACCACCGCCAGCATCAAAGTGACCCATTCGGAATCCTCAGCGCTGGGACCTGTGGATCTGTGGTGTGGAATTCTCGTCCCGAGCCAGGATGAAAAATCCTCGAAGAATCTTCCCATCCCCAGTAAATCTTAGGTACACCCCCAGTGTATGATCCCAAATATGCGATTTCATCCCCTACATCCACCATGGTTTCCGGGGGAGTGAAATATTAGGGGGAAGGGATGGGAAGGGACTAGTAACTAATGGTTAGTAACAACCTGGTGAAGAATTATTGTTGAGACATTGCAGTGCCAATCTGACACATCTGTGACACATCTGACACCGGACATCTGTCACAGCAGTCCGAGAACCCCCAGAGCCAAGGGGCTATAAGACTCTGTAAAGCAAAGAGCAGCTGCCTCAAAGTTGCTCACGATTCGGCGATTGGAAAAAGCTGCAAACTTCCTGGATACCATGAGACATCAAAAACTTCAAAGAGATCATATGCAAATATGAAGTTCACTCAATCGCAAGCATTGGTTCATTGAATCTATTTTTCCCCACTTCCCAATAGAGCAACTAATCAAGCCGCACCTGTCCCCTCGCCTCGCCTGAGCTTCGCCAGCCGTACCAAGCGCAGCAAGCGAATGATGCGCATGGAGCGAGCGATCCTGTTTCATGAAAGTCATAATGATTGTTAATGATAAATAAGACACCATTCATAATCCCATTCATAATACAGGAGCATGAAACATGCATCCACAATCCCATGCTCCTGTATTATGAATGGGATTATGAATGGTGTCTTATTTATCATTATGATTAATGGATTATGCACGGATGATTAGGGATAGCGAAGAGGGTATTAATGGCCATTAATAGCCATCAATGGCCAATAGCCATTAAGCTATAATCAGTTGGTTCTTGAAAGCCAGTAACAGCCGTTCACAGCCATCAATAGCCATTCATAGATATTCATTCATAGAGCTTCAGAATCTCGCAAAACCACACCAAGAATCTTTACACGACTGGCTGCTCAATCAGATGGTTCTTAAAATGCAGGACCTATGTTGATCATCCAAGTTATTGATTCTTAATCATCATGTTCCCATTCAAATTACGTTTTCACTTGGTTTTTGGGCCCCCATTAAAATGGCCATTTGGCAGGCCCCGCATTTTCAGAGCCCAAGTACCATCTTGTGGTTGATATTCGTTTTATCCCATGATATCCCCATTCTATCCCATTTTTTCCCATGTTTCAGCCTTAGATCCCAATTTTTCTCGGAAAAGCCAGTCGGTTTTGGGATAGACCGATAGGGCCGCCATTGGCCTGCCGGAGCGTGCAGCACCCGCCGCTGTGCCATTGCCATCTGGACTGAACCTCGGAAATCTCAGGAGAAATGGGAACGCCGTGGGAAAACCCATCGGAAACCGGGTTTTAATGATCTAAAAATGCTGGGATTCACACATCTATTTATGTTAGTTTACATCTATGTTGGTTTACTGAAGGGTAATTGCTGACTTGTTTCCTAGTTTGATATTGGATGGGGGCGGTTGAAAGTTCAGCAGCTCAACGTTTTTCCCTCTAAGAAAAAGCACCAGTTTCATCGGGAAGAGAGATGCTATCAGAATCAACATGGAGGTACACCATTTTTGGGGGATTATTTTTTTTCATGGAAATTCCTATTCAAATGGATGATGAACAGTCCGTAACAGGGCTACTCCCATGACTTGGGAAACCTCCAAATCTCAACATCTGGGACTTCAGCTACGTCACCTTCGATCCCAGAGTTACGCAAGAAAGTTGAACCCAAACATATGCATCTCTCAATGGTCTCCCATGCTCACAAAAACAGAAGGATTTCTCCAAAATTTTCAGGAACACCACAAAAAAAAAGGAACTCCATGGTTTAACCCCCCCATTTTCACCATGAAAATAGCCTCAAATTCTCATGTCATCCAAATCCCTGTTGAGGTCCCTACATTGCTGAGATGTATGCGTACAAGTCCAAGCTGATGAGTAGCACATCGAAGACGAGCCAGGTGCGTGCCTACGCTGACACAGCTTTGAAGCTGCAAAACATTGATAAAAGTGAGAATGGTGTGAAAACCATAATAATAATTATTATTAATATTATTATTATTAATTATTATCATTGTTCATCATCATCAAAATCATCGTCATCATCATCATCATCATCATCATGGTGCCGAACATCATCAGAATGTATCAAAATCATATGTTCTCACATATAATGATATACATGTATGTATGTATGTATGTATGTATGTATGTATGTATGTATGTATGTATGTATGTATGTATGTATGTATGTATGTATGTATGTATGTATGTATGTATGTATGTATGCATGCATGTATGTATGTATGTATGTATGTGTGTGTGTCTGTATGTATGTATGCATGCATGCATGCATGTATGTAGGTAGGTAGGTAAGTAAGTAGGTATGTATGTATGTATGTATACATATGTATCTATTTATTGAATTATTTGTTTAATCACATACTTGTTGTTAGTTGATTTCTCTTGTTCCCTGCACTTCGGATGACAATGGCTTTCAGAAACAGCATGTATGCAGCATATATGTATATATATATATAATTGTATATATGAATATGGTTGTATATGTATGCACAATTCATATGTATCTATAGAGTATATACATTGTAGATCATTGTAGCATATGCGCAGCTGCTACCAGGAGGCATAAGTCCAAAAGATGGGCCATCGTCGCATGTCGATGTCGCCTTTCTCGTTGTAGATTCCCGTGTTGACGGTGACAAAAATGTCGAGAAACCAATAGAAAGAGGTGAGTCCCTGTAACCACGAAAAAAAGGCGCTTGGATCATGTGGAAAGACCTCCATGGGCACCCAGAGAGTATCGAATCCCAGCACCTGAGAAATTGGGAGCTTCCAGTGGCAGGTTGGAATTTCAGGGGACGAAACGAATCTCCAAGGAACCAATACGCCCAGCACTTGCCATATGATGATAAACGGCACCTGCAGAGCGGTGCCAACTGTGGAAGTCTCGTTCAACCCCATTTCTCTGAAATGCCTTTGCCTTCCAACTGCTCCAACTGGTCAGTTTTTCTTCAATGAGCCGAACAGTAAAAAGCAGCCGCCTCAGGTCGAAAGACGAAGTTGCTGTAGCAGCAGCCCCCCAGAGGAATGTCCAAGTAGTGCCGCGTCTCTACTTGTTCGAGGGATGACATGCGGGCAAAAATCAGATTTGACTGCCCTTGTTCCTTCCCTTGGTTCATTCAAGGCAGAACAAAACATCTCAGTGACCATCTGCAAAATATGAAAAATTGCATTGAACTGCAGCCGTGTACAAGAAAAATGACAGAGGCAGGTGGACTGTTCCTTGAGTGGTGTCCCATGCAAATTTCTCTGGGAAAAAAAAAATACGGTTCCATGCTGCCACATTGCCAGTTTCTTCCCACTCGGGAAAAATTTGAAGCGTAGCCTTTTTCATCAAAGCGTAGCTTCTGACACTTGAAGATCGTTTTCCCATCGGTAGTTCCTTTAGACACAGCCAACACAGGTCATCAACATCATGGCGGCCATGCAGCGCACTCTATGGGGATACTGTCCTGTTTCAAGTTTCAAAAGCAATCTTACTTTGGTTGTGTCACTTCTTGTCTTTTGTAAAACATAACGAAATGTCTGTACATTCAATTCTAACTCTGTGTGTGTGTGTGACTAAAATGTCTCCACGAACTAAATTTCAATCGGTCCTCCTGTGGATCTTTGCCAGGGGATGCATTTGCTTTGGAACCATCTTCAACTTGCAGTGCCTCTTGTCGTTGGCGTCCAAAGCACGGAATCCAATGTAGAACACTGACATGCTGAGAAACCAGCAACCATAAACAGCAATCGGTGGGAGTTCCAATTCAAAAGCATCCATAATGGTCCATAATCACGAAAATGTTTGAAGAAATTTGGTTAGTTTATGCGTAAAGGATCGTAAAGGCATATGATGAGAATGTTCTCGACTGGTTGTACCTCTAAGGTAGTTTTGAGGAGCTGGGGGGATGCCATGAACAAACCGGAATTCCGAGGAATCCATCAAACTGCAACAACAAAATCGAACATTTGAATGACTGCATAAATTCAAAGGCCTCAATCCCGGTTTTCAAACTACGTATGTGAAACTCCGAAGAACCCATGGTTCAAAACCACCATTTTTGCCCACTGCCATTTTATGGACCAAACGTTTTGGACAAAACCTGGTGCAAAACCCATGGGTTCAATAAAAAAAAGAAAAACTCAAAAGCCTCTTTCAGGTCAAAAAAATCCGGCAATCCATTGCTTGCTGTCAACGTCTGCTTGCGACTCGCCCAGCGAGTGTGACGAAGTTCCTGGAGGATTGGATCCAGGTGCAACATTGAAAAACTGGCCGAAAACCCCATGGTTTTTTCATATCAAAATCGGAAATTCGTTGAATTGTTTCCTTCTTAAAAACCAAAGCACTGGCTTAGAAGCAAAACTGGTTGCCTCTCGCAATTGGCTGAGTTCTTGATCATGCGCTTCTTCCAGTCTCCCGAGCAATTCGCGAAAACTTCCCATGGCAGCAAAATCAATGCAGAATCTGCTGAGTGTTTGTGGCACGATTTTATGCTATCTAATTTCCATGCATTCCCAGATCCCCGACCATATTGCCTTGGAAGGTCCTTGAGGCACCGCAACGATCGGTGGTTGAGATTAGTTTTGTGCGTTGCATATCCAAAAACACAATGCGACCTTGCGGAAGTTGAATCATCTCGGATCATCAAGCAATGATCGAATGTTTTTTGATGGAACATACCAAGAAATCAAATCATCAACCAAATTTGCCTGAACTATGTCATGATTCATCAACCTGAAATGTGCAGCCATTTGGGAATTCGGAATGATCCCCACAATGAACACAACAGAAATCATTTTCAATCTAGGGACCTAAATAAGGACGGATCCTTCAAATATGGATGAACGATCCAATTCTGGGGCACATGATGTCAAAACATAAAGCTACAAGGGAAATTGGTTGAAAACCAAGATTTCCCCATTACATCTGGGATCCCTCAATTTCAGGGAACAAATTGAATCATCCATCCGGTCCATCGGTGAATTTCTCTCCTCAGTGTGTGAGGCATGCACATGAGGCATTATGTTTATGTAAAAAAAACATGGCAACGCAATATCAAGCCAAAACGTTCCGGTATGTTCCAGTCCATTGTTCGCCCGCGCTCACCACAAAACCTTTTCTTCAGACCTTCAACCAATCAATGTTCGATTTGTCCAATTTTTCAGCATCCGAACCCAGTTGCCCCAACCGGTTTGCGAGATAGAAACCAGGATGCCAGTTGGTAGTTACTTGGTAACAGCATGGCATCAAGACCGTGTGTTGTTGTTTTTCTTACTTTTGCGAAGCAGGCAGCGTTTCTTTTCAGCCAAAACGGGCCTGGATGATGCACAAGTCTTTCCATGTGCACACGTGTGAATATTTTGTTACATGCCGTCGATTTGTGGAGATTCATCACCGCGTTTCAACACTGCGGTCCAAATTCTACGCTGCGAACAAACGGCTGTAAGCGCCTTTGTTTTGTGCCAAAAGCGGTCTCGATGAAATCACTTGCTCATGGTTTTCATGAGAAGTAAATTGAAGTGCCATCTGCAACTCTCATCTTGATTTGTGCGTGTCATCCTTGTGCATATGGTGCCATGTGAGTAGGCTGAACAATCTTTTGCACTCCTACTTTGGCAATTGAGCGGTCAGCTCGATTGGCAACATATTGCTGCCACTTGCAAACGCATAACCAGATCTCTTCTCCGTTTCTGCATTGTTGTGTAAGTCACCTTTGAATTCATCTCATCAAACTGTCCATGTTTTCAACATACAGTCTGAAGCGATCACGTCTGTCGTCGTGACCTCTGTTCCGGCGGTACCTGTAAAGTCTCTGGAAGACGTTGCGGATTCGGTTTGTCACCTCCATGGTTAATCCTTCTGGTCCAGCTGAAGCGTCCAATGCGGCCACAATTGCATGTTGGTTTTCACTGGCTTCATGCCACCTTTCGCTAGCCAGTGCAACGTTTTGATCTGCACGCATATTTTGTAGAAATCTCTCCAGGCCAGACTGTCCATTGGTTCCATCATGTCTATCTGTCTCTGGAATCTGATGTTGGAGCTTCCTCCTCTGCTTGTTCAAAGTTTCCTGTTGCTTCTTCAATTGGACCTGTGTTCTCTGTGCGGTTTCTCACATTCCCGACTACAAATTTGCCTCTTTCTTGAGTCATCATGTGTCGCAGCTGGTCCGTGGTAAGGCTGGCATACCTTGTTGTTCATACTCGAGCTTCCGTTGCTTCAGTTTCCCTAATACAGAACTATGTGCATGACATTCCAAAGCATGTGAATCAAAGGCAGCTGCGCAGGTGCTTTCTATTTTAAGCGTGGTGCAAAGGAGATCCAATCTGTACAAAATGTATTAGAACCAGCGGGTCCAATATTAGCACAGCTAGACCTAGAAACAGACCCCAATTCAAACTGACACCGATCAACAACCCAAAGACCGGGGTATGTTGGGGTCAACCAGTAGAGGTGGGGAGTTCCAACAGCACCACCTCCAAGACCACACAGTGGCGGTGCATGGGGATGGTGGTGGGAAAACAGATCAGGGGAAACTTGAAGCAAAAATGGCCACGGACCAGATACTGAAATTTCCGGGTCCAAAGTATGAACACATATGTACAAGTACATGACACGTTCATACTAGAGCTTCCGTTGCTTCAGTTTCCCTAATACAGAACTATGTGCATGACATTCCAAAGCATGTGAATCAAAGGCAGCTGCGCAGGTGCTTTCTATTTTAAGCGTGGTGCAAAGGAGGTCCAATCTGTACAAAATGTATTAGAACCAGCGGGTCCAATATTAGTACAGCTAGACCTAGAAACAGACCCCAATTCAAACTGACACCGATCAACAACCCAAAGACCGGGGTATGTTGGGGTCAACCAGTAGAGGTGGGGAGTTCCAACAGCACCAGACAAATCGACCATCGACCAGCCGGAGTAAGAACTCCCCAAAAACACAATCGATGGAAGCACCCAGTCAGCGGACTGCAGTTGGCCTTTTTCTCGCAGATGAATGTCAAAATGCGAAGGCCACTTTCGACCTGTTTGGGTGATCTCAATGCCGGATGACTGCAGCAGCTGCATCCAAGGAATGAATTGCTGCGACCGCGGATCGACGGCAACAGAGAGCTGTTCTTTGAATCGACTCAATTCGTCTGCCAATACATTCAATCGACCAGGAATATGAGTGATTTGAGGATACACTTGATTTCGTCGCATGAATTGGAAGTATGGAGTCAGAACAGCTGCCAGAGCTTGAGTCATAGTAAGACCTTTGGCTGTGGCAGCATCTGCTGCGCTATTGTCAGTGGCTTGGTGACATGCTATTGGCCCACGAGTGCAAGGTAAGTGGGTAGCAATGCAGAAGGATAAAGCAAATTGGGCTAACAATTCCCAAGCTGCGATGTGCTTTTGCATGTCGTCACCTATCCACGGCCATAGTGACTGAGCTTCCTCAAGTGAGATACGAAATTGAAACCAAGTCGAAGACCCATCAGGAAAGAAGGCTGCCCCGCCCAGCCCAGCCAGGGACTGCGACGCCATAGCGTCTGCTGTGGCATTGACTTGGATCCACACTGGCGGGCACATCGATAATGAGAAAGGTGTCGACGTCAGCAACTGTAGCCATATTTTGAGGGTTTCGGTCGCTTCATCATCCAGTTTCCGGTTCGGTGTAGATGGATCTGAAAGACCAACCCACACGCGACGGGACTTGATGTGCAACAGTTGAACTTGTTTCAACGTCAGGACATTAGTGTTGGCGACACGACACAATGTAATGCCCTTTCTCAATGATTGATGCTTGTTGGTCAACGAAGTGCACAGTTGTAGCTGCTCATCCAAGTGAGCAGTGAGTGTTTGAAACGTCACATGATCCATTCCCACCATGGTAATGGGAATGCGATGCAGGGCCTTGTACAGTGGGATGAGAAGTGGACGCAGGTGACGCCACCCGGATGTCAACCACAAAAGGCGTCCCACTAGAGACTGCAATTCTCGTAGTGTCAAACGTTCTGTGCGCCGAATGGACCTGATTTGAGCGATGATGCGCTCCATTTTCTCAGTGGGGACTTCGATCGTCCAATAAGCAACAGAGATTCGCCAGCCAATCCAATCCACAGTGTCTGACAGTGCTGCTTTGTGCCAGGACATGGGCACCCCCAAGATCAGCAAGAGAACGACAATCAACGAAGCCCACAGTGGGGACGACACCTTGTCCAACCAGGCAAGAAGATCATCAACATACTGCCATAGAGCGTGACCATGGGCCAGGAGAGAATGACAAGACCGCACCATGATGCCTGCCAACCGCCCCCAATACCAGCCGCTGGCACGAGCACCGAAGTTGAGAGTGATGCATCTGTATAGTTCCCCATTCGCATGAAAGCAAAGAAGGCCGCCGTCATCAGGATGAACCAAGATTCTGCGGTGGGCTTTCGCAACGTCCAGTGTGAGTTGTGTCATCTTCTGACATGCCATGCTATCTGGGGCACATTGGATCACATCGGATATCCGCGGCAAAAGCATATGGTTGGGTAGGACTGTGTTGGCGGTTACCATGCTGATGGAGCTGTCAACCACCAAACGAGGTGAGCGACCTGGTGCAATCACTACACCCAGCTTGCCGATGGCAGTTTTGGAATACATCCGTTTGAGTTGTGGGATGCCTCCAGGGACATGGGCAATAAAACCTGCATCGAGCTCCTCTTGAATCAGAGATTGAACAGTCTCTGGATGATCTTGGGCGCTTTTCCAACTGTCACTACAATCTTGGAGCGGCACTTCGTCGGGCAGTGTACCAGAATATTGTGGCCACGCTGGAGAGGGAGTCAGTGGTTCATTGACCCCCAAGCGCACTCCTGTAGGAAGTTGAAGAAGAAAATCAGCATCAGGATCGTGCAGGAATGTTGCCAACCGATGCCACAACTTTAAGCGAAATGGTTGGCCAGGTGAGATATCCAGGAGAAAGTCGCCTGGTGGGCAATCCAGAATCTCGAGGAGGTCGTCCATGTATGGTTTGAGCTCATCCTCAGACAGAGGTGGCTCTTTGCATCCGGACAGCAACGCTGCAGTAATCTTGAGGCATTGTTTGCTGTCGCTAAGGCGCCTGAACCATCTCGAACGCAATGCCGCCATCTTGTCGTGTCGTGGCGATTTCATGTGGAGTGCTGTGCTTGGCAAACCGCCTCCATCCTCGATTCGACCTGGTGGGTCTGGCCAGGACAGTTGTGGTGGTAAAATGGAAGGCCAGTCAGCCACCTGTAGCACTTGGTGATCAGACGTCAAATAGGGTCTGATGATCGATGCCAATGCTTGTGCCAATAGAGCAGGATACTCTGCAGTGAGCCTACTCTTGAATGTGCCATCAGGGAGACGGACTCCAACAATAGGTTCATGTGTCCCTGCTGGATGAGGACAAGATCTGGCAAGGTGACAAATGGCTTGTCGATTCGACACAAACATCCATGCTTTGGCCCAGTCCTTGT